ATCCGATTGATATTGAAAACAGTGTGATGAGGTGTCATAAGAAAATAGCGGAATGGTAAGCGAATACAGGCATTCGAGTTAACACATTGTACGCGGGCTTCTGTGCCTCAGCCTACGTGGAGCGATTTTGGGCGATTTATTCACTTAATGACAATGTTAAGAATTACTAATACTGTTGTGAATATTTATTTCTTTTTTTGTTGCAACGTGAAACAATAACCTTAAGCAGAATAATATGTCCACATCTTGGAAAGATTTAGATAGACCTCTATTTTTTCTAATACTATCTTATTTTTGATACTAGACACATACTAGTCTTAGTAGATACTTAGACACATACTATCTTATTTTTTATTTTGTAATGAAATTTCACAATTTCCAACACCATTATAGTAATTGTGCATGTAAAGATGGTACCAGAAGCATGTACATAGAGGCACAATAGTTTATATTGTTTCAATTAATTTTAACCCCTGAGTACAATTAACAAAGTCTCAAAATTACATATGAAGTCCATGATATTTTCACATGACACTCGCGCTAGAATTTCTAGTATTTTATAATTTTTGATGGATTGTAGACTCTGAATTTACACAGTCCTATCAATTCGCATAAAAAAAGGTTGAAAACATATTGGTACGTCTCTCCTGCATACAATGTGTTAAACTAATACAGTGATATTGATCTAAGATCATCTCAACGTTTTGCGAAAAAAACGTGTCGTTAGTAATGAAAAATATTTGTACGATTCGCAGCGCCGTATTCACGTGGACCAACTTGCTGGTAGTGGTGGTGGAACTCGACGGAAGCGAGAGCGAGGCTTTAGATCTCGTGGCATTGGTTACCAGCGCTGTTCTGGAAGAGCATCATCTGGTGGTCGGTGTAGTGGTCGTAGTGGATCCCGGGGTAGTTCCAATAAATTCGCGTGGCGAGAAGCAACGAATGCACTTGCGCGATGGTTTCCTAGCGGACCAACTCGATCCGATTTATGTGGCGTATAACATGTGAGCGATGTCAGTGGATGTAGGAAATGCCGAACGAGAGACTGATATCGTTCCTTGCAATTACACCTCTAGCACCACGTTGATGCATAGGTATTCTCGACTCGAGGTCGCAAACTGCGTTCTAAATTTTTTAAGCAAGGCAGTATCTCTGGCGGACAAACTGCAGTATATGACACGTACACGAAGCGAACGTCATCCCTAAATGGTCTTTGAAAGAAAACCACTTCTCGTTTGTCGTTGATGCATTTAGAGGAATTTTATATGACCCGAGACAGGGACGATGTAAAAGAATTTTCGCTTTAGACGCGAAATTTTGACAAAAAACGATGAGCTCGTGAAAGGCTCGTCATCGAGCCAGAATTCCACTTAAAATAATGGAAAATGTAGGAACAGTACAATATTCGGAGCATCAGTGGATGGTTAGATGGGTAACGAAATTTAAGCAACCATATATACATCAACGATTCTCTATTCGCAGCGAAAGAAAAAGAAAAAAAAAAAAAAGAAAAGAAAA